TAGTTAGGTTGGTCTCTTCTCCTCCCCTCCCTCTCTCTCTCTCTCTCTCTCTTTCTCTCTTCCTTTCTCTCTCATTTTACGCTCTTCACGCGCATTATAAGTGAACTTCGCAACGCGATCGAGGGGATCAGGGGGCAGGGCCCCGCTCTATTTCCCTGTATACGCGCGCCGGAACGCCCGATAATTTGTATACGTCGCGAAAACCGTGGGAACAAAAGCACCGAGTACTTAAGTGTACGCGGCGATCATTATCTCCGCTATCGGGATACCGTCGTAAACTGTCGTGTCTTTTAATGTAGCCGAGAATGTTGCGCGAGAATAACAAACCACTCGTTCGAGAGAGCGGACACGTGTAGCCAATATCGCAATAGGCGCACTTGGTATACGATGCATATCCGTTTCGGCGTAATGGGTTAATAATTTAGCGATATATAATAGTCCATGTGCATTTAAGTTGTTCGTCATAACGAAGTTATGTTAGGTTTTAAGTTTAAAGAGCCGGCCAGAACAAGAGAAACACAATATTCTTACGAAGAAGAAAAAGAAAAAAATTTGTTTGACACGTGGCATGTTGTCCAATTTACGGAGTCTTTTTGCATTTTTCTAGATAGGTCTCTGTCACGACCTGACCCCCTCGTTTCCCTCTATTCACCTTCTTTCGTCTTTGATCGTTCTGCATTGTCCGTCGTTCCTTAAGTTTATGTAAAAGTTTGTAAGATCCATGTGTTACAAATATTTTTTTACGCCGTTAAATATATATTTAAATAGTTTCTCGAAGTCTCTCTATTTGATATAAAGTACAAGATAACATTAAATGTATAAAATAGTTAGATATATATAAGATAATGTATATATTAATTAAATCATTAAGGTAATAAAATTAAATTTTTAAGACGTACTCTTCCAATTGTAAAAAAGAGATAAGAATTTTTTGTAAAAGCACTTATATTATTTCCCTCTTTTTTTTTATATAACCATAAACACGAATGCATATCAAAAGAAACAGAAAACACGGGAGAATTACTTTCATTTATTTTGTAATGTCGCATGTCGAATTTCACGTATCTAATTCGGCATTT